GGCTTCACTGAGTTACGCAAGCCCCTTCGCCACAACAAGGCAGTGATCCATGAAGGGGAAGATGAACTATACCAAACAAAAAAAACTTTGAATTTGCAAATAAGCCAGGGAGATGGTTGGTGTACAGATTAAGAAAGAAGAAAGAAGAGAAAATGATTATAAAACTTAAAGAAGGAGATACTGTAATGACGGATAATGTGACTATACAAAACATTTTTTCATCAGTATTATTCTAATTTATATAAAAGACAGAAATTTTCTCTGGAAAAAAATAGACGACTACCTAAAAAAACAAAATTTTCCAGAGCTTATGGAAAACCAAAGACAGATTATGAATGGACCTCTAACAATAAAAATGGAAGTATCTGAAACTATAAAAAAGATTAAACCAAGTAAAGCACCAGGACCAGATGGGCTCCCGGGATCTTACTACAAAAGCTTTGAGGATGAAATTTTATAACCACTCCATCCTATGAGGAACTCTATATCGGTGGAAGGTGGGATGCCAGAGTCTTGGAAGGAGGCTAATATAGCATTATTACCTAAAGAAGGACAAGATTTGAACCTATGGGATGCCAGAGTCTTGGAAGGAGGCTAATATAGCATTATTACCTAAAGAAGGACAAGATTTGAACCTATGGGATGCCAGAGTCTTGGAAGGAGGCTAATATAGCATTATTACCTAAAGAAGGACAAGATTTGAACCTAACTAAAAATTATCGACCAATATCCTTATTGAATAATGACTATAAGTTATTCACAACGAATTTAGCAGATAGATTAAAGGTATATTACAAGAATGTATTCATGAAGACCAATGTGGATTTTTATCTAAAAGACAATACAAAGATAATGTTAGAACAAGTGTTGGATATTATAGAATATTTGAAACAGCACAATGAAAAACAAGCTGCATTAATATTTTTTTGGATGCAGAGAAAGCTTTTGACAATTTAAATTGGCCTTTTATGTTTAAAGTTTTGGAAAATATGAATTTTGGAGAAAACTTTATAAAAGGAGTGAAATCCATTTGTATATCACAGAAAGCGCAAAATTATTGTTTTTGTCCTTGTTGTTGTTGTCCTTGAAAGGGATTGTCCTTGAAAGGGATATTGTTGTTGTCCTTGAAAGGGATTGAAGTTTTAATGAAAAAACTGAAAGAATTTGGTGTTTTGGCTGGTTTTAAAGTTAATAAACAAAAGATTAAAATGTTAACAAAAAACATGAACACACAAGAAAAGAAGTGATGAATAAAACAGGTTTTAAGATAGAAAGGTTAAATAATTAGGGGTGAATCTGACAAACAGTAAATGTTGTTTCAAAATAATTATGTTAAGACTTGGTATGAAATTTTTAAAAATATGTTAAGATGGGGAAAATTACGATTATCATTGTTGGAAAGAATTTCTATAATTAAGATGAATGTTTTACCTAGAATTTTATTTCTGTTTCTAACAATACCTTTCGTGACAACTGATGTTTCATTTAAAAAATGGCATAAAGATATATCTAAATTTGTGTGGCAAGGGAAAAAACTGCAAATTAAATATGAAATTTTACAAGATGCTAAAGAAAGAGGAGGTTTAGGTCTTCCAGATATGAAGTTGTACTTTGCAGCTTGTTGTCTGGTTTGAAATAGTGGGTGATTGAGAAATAGGAGATTATTGGAACTAGAAGGGCATGACCTAAGATTTGGGTAGCACAGCTTTTTTATGGTATGATAAAGTTAATGTAGATTTTAAAAATCATTTTATTAGACATGCCATATTTAGAATATGGAATAGATATAAATCTAGGTTGTCTCTGAAGGTTCCTTTATGGCTGTCACCATAAGAAGCTTTTTATAGAAGAAGTTAACCTTAAAATTACACAATGTCTTTTCTTGAGTCAAAGCTGAATCGAATCAAAGTTAAATGGTTAACTTATGGTGATGTATCGGAAGTTTCTCAAAGGGACCTTAAACTATAGACGAGAGGATTTGATATTAGAAGGATATATGTATCAATGGTTTTCCTACAAGAAAGATTTAAAATAGATAAAAGGACTTATGGTTTTGAATATGGTAAAACTGAATTTGAAGCAGAATTATGTTCTAATGATGAACATGTTATGGCAAAGATGTATGAAGTCTTCTTGAAATTAGAAACAGAAGATGAACAAGTTAAGGATTGTATGATAAAATGGCCTAAAAACTTTGGTTATAATATACAGATGGATCAATGGAAGAATATGTGGTTGAAAGGACTGAAATTTACATTGTGTTATAGTCTTAAAGAGAATTTTTATAAAATGCTGTACTGTTGGTATTTGTCACCAGAAAAATTATCTAAAATGTATAAAGGCACTTCAAATGTATGTTGGAAATGTGAACAAGAAGGGACTTTTTATCATCTCTGATGGACTTGTAAAAAAGTGAAAAAAATTTAGAATCAGATACACAATTTATTTCAGAAGATTTTAAAGATTGAAATACAATCAAAACCAGACTTTCCTGTTGGGTTTGATAGATAAACAATTGGAAAAAAACTCATGGAACTTTGTTTTTATATATAAAAACAGCAGCAAGGCTTTTATATGCATAAGAGGTGGAAAGATATGACATTACCTACAATGGAACAATGGATGATGAAATTGATGGAGTTGGCAAAATTGGTGGCTTTGATTCGAGGAAAGACATTGTGTAATTTTAAGGTTAATTGGAAACCTTTTTTGGACTTTTTTGTGAAAAAAATAAAATTATGTTGTATGGATTTGATGATTAGAAATAATATGGGTTAATATAAATAATGAAAGTTATGTTGTAAACTTAGAGTAAGAGTTTGATGTATACTGCTACTTATATCTGTTGTGAGGAGGATCAGAAATCAATTCTTTTTCTTTCTTTGCTTTTACTTTTTTCTTTTTCTGCACTTTTGATCTTGACTACTACTTTTTTCTAATCTTCTTTTTACTTTCTTTAATATTATTTCTTAGATTTTACTGTTTCTGTTTTAAAATTTAATAAAGTTATTTTTAAAAAATCTCTCTGGCTTATTGGACTGTATTATTTTTGCATACTGGAGGGATTTGAAGACCTGGCTCTGCCACCTGGCCTGGGGTGGGGAGGGAAGACATCAGGGGTGAGATTGGCTAGCCCCTTAGAGGCCTGGCATTTGCTACTCTGAACCATCGGCCTCCTGGACTCTTTCTTTTTTAGTAATTGTTTTGTATAGGTTTTAGGTTTTATGTAATTGTATTTTTATTTATTGTTTTAATGAGTTGTGAACCGCCCAGAGTCCCCCATTAGGGGGAGATGGGTGGGGATAAATTTAATAAATAAATAAATTAAAATACCATTTTTCAGCACATTTGAAAATGTTACTGTCTTATTCACATAAAGCAAGATGGAGATTCATACTTACTTTCTTCAAAAAACTGCACCTGGAGACTTTTATCACTATTAAATAGTTTCTGAGAAATATGTCAGACAATGTATTTTATATATTAATATGTACATTTAAAAAGAAAGAATATTAATAATCTTTAATATTAATTTCAAACATTTCTGGTTTTCAAACAATACTGTACTTTATCATAAATACTAGTTCATGTGATTTAAGAGTTGGTTTATTTTCAGGCTTCTAAATTAATGACATTTTTTCCTCATTCCTTGTCTTTCTAACCCTTGCTAGTGTCTACCAAATAGTTGTTGAGGAGGAGCGCCCTCGCAGAACCAAGAAAACAACAGAAATCCTGAAATGCTATCCTGTACCAATTCACTTCCAGAATGCTTCAATTCTGAACTCCCAGTATTATTTTGCAGCTGAGTTTCCAGCCAACAGCATTCAGATTGCTCAGCCTTTTACTATTGGTGACAACAAAACCTACAGTGGCTTTTGGAATACTCCTCTTCTTCCTCATAAAAGTTACAGCATTTATTTTCAAGCCGCCAGCAGAGCTAATGGGGTAAGCCTGAGAACTTTGGTTTAATGCTGTATCCACATCAAGAAATAAAGGCAAAACTAAAACAGCCAAAGGACAAAAATCACACGCACATACACAGTGATTAGACTACCTAACCACCATTGTTTGGAAAAGAAATGAAGCAGGCAAGAATTAAACAGTTGTATCAATGGAAAAAAAAATGGGGGGAAAAAAGTCTGTTCAAAATTATCTTATATATACTCTTTCCAATCTCACTTATTAAATTGTTCATACTTTGTATTATCTGCCTCCTTGGCTTTTTCAACTATATAATATCAATTTACATCAGCCTGAACACTTGTGTTCCCTCTTGATTGTGCTGATATAAACTTTTGGGGCTTTTATCCCCCCTTTTTCAAATAATAAAACAAAAACAAACAAACAGACTAAAAAAATTGTAAAAGGCCCCTCCTTTGCAGATTATATTTTATCTAACAGATTCTAGAATTGTTTTCCATTTTCAGGGCATATGCGCCAGAGCCCTTCAGCTTCTGATAAGCTTTGGTTGTCTCCCTTGACAGCAGAAAAATGTTTTCTGCCAAATACCATAATGGGCCATGTCTTAGAGTGCACTGATAGTGCAGAAATGTGAAATACCATTGATTTTTGTTTGCTTCCCTTACATTGTCTGGTATGTTGTTTAGAACTATCTCACTGACTGTAAAGAAAAGAAAATATCCAAGATCAATGAATTGTCAAAAGGAAAAAAAAAGTATAATGGCTAATATCTCATTCATGTTCTGGTTTAATGTTAAGTGAAGTATTGATGTTACATGTCCAAGTACATTTTCATTCATTTATCTATTACAGGGAAATGAACTAAACTTTTTAGACTAGAGCAGGCAATTGTTAAGCATGAGGACATTAAATAAAGATGATAGGGTTTTTTGACTTAACAGTGGTTTGACACATATAAAAAAACAAACTGTTATTTTCTGGATGTAACTCAGCAAATAATCCCTCCTTTTTTATCTGCTATAGGAAACAAAAATTGACTGCGTCAGAGTAGCTACAAAAGGTATGCTCCTATTATGCATTTCTTCCTGGCCTTAAATCTGTTGACTTCTGTACCAGATTATTTACATTGTTAAATAGACTTACAAGATCCTTTCATGGTACTAAGTATAGATTACTTACATTTATAAGACATGGAACTGTTGGTTTCATTTAATGTAGAAGCCATAGTCTTATAATATATGCATTTAGCTTTTTCCACTCCATTAGTAGCTTTTTGATGCTGCTGTTTGCCTAATGTAAAGCATTATGTATATGGATAATGCAGCATATGTAGGATGCTAGGAACACCATTGTTTTAAACAACAACAAAAAAAACCCATAACATTATAATGGTGTACTTAACTTTCAAAGTTAATTTTTGACAATTTTGGTCAAAAGCTAGAAAAGCTAGACTCTGTATCAGAAATAGACTAATCTACACCATCAGCAGCATTCTGTTAAAAAAAAAAGTTTTGTAAATTTAATGAGACTATAATTCTTACAATTTAGGGAAAGACTTGCATAGCTTTATGAACATTTTTATAACAATTCTTTATATTGTGTTGCAAAGAATTTTTGTTAACTCCTGCTGCAAAACTGAAAGCTGGCTTCTCAGGCATTTCCAGGCAAATGTTCTTAGGATAAAAAGGGATCAGAAAGCCCACAATAGGAATTGTTGCAAGTGCAATTTTCTTATATCATTCTTAGCACATCTCAAACAGCTTTGCTGACACTAGCGCTACTCATTTTATGTATTATTATAACATACATCCTTTTGGCATGATTATATGGTTGTTATAAATGTTTATAAAAAATTATAGCAATTAATTGTATTTCGATATTCTTCATGATGGTATAATATATATAAATGTTCAACACAAAGAGCACAACTGATGATAATGAACAATAATGACGTTTCTTCCATATATTATTCCTAGTCAAGTGGAATTCTATTTACCTTTCCTCTAGTGTTAAATAATTAATCAAGAAGAATAATTGGCCCAATTTATTATAAATAGATGAAATATTAATATTTGTAATCTGATTTTTGTTTAGAAGTTATTCTGCCAACTGCTTCACCATTTGGTAGCTGAACCTTTTTACTCCTATGCTTAGCAAAACAAGGAGAAGTCTTTTCTGCAGTGAAGTTGGTACCATAGCAACAAATAATATCAAAGTAGCCTCTTCAAGAAAAGGAAAGGAAAAGATTCAGCTTTCATTTAAAACATATGCCAGTTCATTTAATGTTATAAAAGCATCTTTGTGAGTACTTTGTAGAACCTCTGAAAAGTCTGTAGTATTCTCAAGGATATAGGACTGGGGGCACGATGTGTGGCATTTATTTGGCAACTCCCTTCCAGAACAGCAATAGCTAAGGTAGGAACAGTTTTAAGTCATGTTTTAGAGTGGAGGTTGGCCATGTGGTATCCATTTGTTGTGCCATGGTGATTGTAATGTATAGACCAGTAAATGGTGTCCACTGACCTCAGAAGTTAGTTACAAATATGAAATTAGCTGAAATCTCTTAAGATTCAAAATAATTCTGCAGAAGTTATATTCATATGTGATATTTGGTCAATTGTTGTTTTTGTTGTTATTATCCTTTTTAATGCAATTCTTTAAAATACTTTGTGTTTTTAATCCCTGTAATACATTTTCAGAATACAAATAACCCTATTATTATCTGAAACAGATTTTTATATCTCAATAAGCATTTGACCAATCAGTTGCATTAACACCTCACCTAAATATAATTTCTGAATATATATGTTACAATACAAGCATTATTTTTTACGTAAATCTTAGTAGTAGTATTCATTCTTTATTATGTCCTGGTCATCAAGATTCTGACCAGAACAAATTCTGCAAGGGAAATGGAAGCAAGCTTTCTGGAAAGAGTGTTTATAAACAAAAAATTGGGAGTCCATCCTGAGACTTCTCCAAGAAACTTCATTTAATCTGTCTTCTGCCAATGAATTCTGAAACAGGGCTTTCAGTCTAGTTTTTTAAGTTACGTATGGCGAGCTAACTGCAGTGAAGGTAGGAAAGTATGGTTAGAACTATGACTTAAAAAGAGAACTAGATTTAAATAATATTTTTTATTGAATAGTACAGTACAGTTAGTCCTCACTTACTGACTGCCTCATTTAGCGGCCCTTCAGAGTTACAGTGGTGTAAAAAAATAGCTTTGTGACCAATCCTCGCCTTTACAACCATCACAGCATCCTGCGGTCACATCATCACCATTCACGTGCTTTGCAACTGGCTTGCAACAAGCAGAGTTAATAGAGAAGGCAGAAGTAAAGTCACGGTCACATCATTTTTCACTTAGCTACTCCAGTACTTCACTTAACAACCAAAGGGGAAGTAAGGTCATAAGCCCATCATGGTCACATGATTTTTCACTTAGTGACCAAGTTGCCAGTCCCACTTGTGGCCCCTAAGCGAGGACTACATGTATATAAAAATTTTTAGTCTTAGCTGTTGGTTGCATGTGTGTGTGTGCCTTTAAGTCAGTCTTGACTCTAGCAAGAACAAGTCTCTAGCAAGAAGAAAAACAGTTTTCTTGGCAGCATTTTCGGAAGTGGCTTGCCATTGCCTCCTTCCTAGAGGTGAGAGAGAGTGACTGGCCCAAGGTCATCCAGCCAGCTTTTTGCCTAAGGCAGGATTAGAACTCATGGTCTCCCGGTTTCTAGCCTAGTGCCTTTAACCACTACACCGAATGGGCTCTTTATTTGTTATTAAGATTCATTTATATATAAGATATGAATATTTACATATTTCTTTTTACTTGCTAAGTAAATCTCTGTGCCTGTTCTTTGCATGCCATATTATCCTGCTTTTGTATTGGCCTATTACAGTTTCCTTAGCAATATAATGTTGGTAGAAGAAATATTAAAGATTAGGAACCAAGTTATTTTGAAAAATATCTGTTCAGGTAGCACTGTCATTTGTATCAGTTCTTGTTCCATTCTTGCCTGCCAAAACGTTTTTGCCTACCAGTGAGTTTTGAGTACTAATCAGTTATGTTCACTTATTTTGGTTGTCTCATGCTTTTTTTCCCACCAAATGAGTTAGGGTTAGAGTTCTTGATCAATGGTTGACATTTACCTCTGTGATTTTAGGTATCCATGCCATAATCACAACAAAGCTATTCCACCAATTGATTATGTCCACAGCAGACAAAAACTTTCTGTGTGGGATTTTAACACTAGTGGCTGGCAAAAAAGGAACAAGAGCCCTTCTGTCTTCTACATTTGGTGGTTCTGGGAATCAAGGCACAGTCCTCTTTGGTGTATAAGCTCAACATGTCATTGATGCGTTTTTCAGTTTTTGTTAAAATGATACATTGTTTGATTCAGATTAAATTTGCAGAAATAAAGTATTTATGTCCCAGGATCAGGAGAAAAGTCACTAACACAAACTTAGGTATCAGCTTTTGTTCCAAGAGATGTTTATTATGTAGAGCAACATAAGGGCAATTATGATAATTAAAGTGCTTCAACAATTACAAGATATTTATCTAAATATATAAATACATTTCTTTTTATATCTAGTCATTGCAATGCCAGAGCCCCATACTTGTCTCTTTTCATGCTTAAGAAGTCAGTCATATCACAACAGGGTAGAACAAGGAAATTAAGAAGATAAAGAGAAGCCTCTTAAATATATTATTGCAGATAGAGGCCTCAGTGACTACATTGTATTTGGTGAGCTATACCTGAAACTGTCCATGCCTGTAAATTTCTCCTGAAAAGAAAAGTGTAAGTTGGACAGTCCCAAAAGTTTAATTTCTTAAATGTTGATAGCATGTTCAATTGCATTTCAGGAAAAGAAACAGCTAAGACAACCTTTATTGATACTAAGGAGTGAAGTATTCTGGGAAGGTTGTTCATTACCACTAGGGAAATGTGCTACTAGCTCAATTCCAGAAAAATGAGATACACTGGACAGTGCATATGCCTGCATGCAGACACACACACACACACACACACTTTTTCCTTTGTCTTCCTAAATTATTGCCATTAAAGTGGGAAAAAAGGGGAAAATAAATGACTTCCAAATGTATCAGTTCAGTTTCATTTGGTCCATCCTAGAACATATAAATGCCATGGAAATTCATCTTTTTAGGAAACACTTCTCTCTTTTTCTTAGGACTGCTACACATAGATAAAAGAGAACTTTGAGTAGGTTGAATTTCTACAACTTATTGAACATTGTATTTACCTTACATTTATAGAAATATGAGCAGTGGTTTTATTTATTAATTTATGTTTTTATATCCTGTTAATATTTTGTCTTTCTACCAAAAAATGTCACTCAAGGCTAACAGTAAGAATAAAAATAAAACAAAAAATCCAAAATGACATTATAAAACACAATAAACATTACTGTTTTCTTCTGTACTTTAAAAATAAGTGCTGCACCTTCCTGAGTTTCTCCCAGCCTAAGTTTTTCTTTCTGAGCCAGATTCTCATGGAAATGACAGTGACAAATCCTCAGCCACACTATCGTACTTGGATATGTCTGGCAAAAATAAAACCATAAAGAAAAGCATAGTTTTGAAATTACTGGAATAGTTCAAACTTTGTTTTGTAATAAGAATTCATACCAGTTGTAGAAGAGAAATCCTATTATTTTTATTATGTATTATATTTTATACATGCTTAAGTCTTTTATCAAGAGTCTTGTAAGAGTTACTAACACCACAGTGTTTCAGAGTTACATGGAGATATTTCAAATAGCAATTTTGAACATAATTGTCTGCAGATAGAGAATAAACTCATTTCTTCATTCATTGCTACATACCTAATTGTACTCAAGCTTTTCTATATACATTTACGTTTTTATATAAACCTTTCCCCCTTAATTTTCAGGAAGGGTTTTTTTTTTTTAAAGCCAGGCCAGAATTCAATTTCTCAGAAGTGTCATCGTAAAATTGTGAATGCTGCATCTGACCTTTAAAAGTTGCTTTATCCCTTCCCTCTCCTCCATCAAACATACTATGCATTGTATGTCTAAAAGCTTAGGAACAATTCAATATGGAAAAGGTTTGAAAATATATTGCAAATACTGTGATACTGCAAATGTGTGATTGTAATCCTTTTAAAGCACTGGTCACCTTTCCTTCTATTCATAAAAGAGACTGTACTTATTTTTCTGTAGTTAGTCATCAGTTTGCAATCAGATTTAACTGGAAGTGGGGACCTGATTATCTGTGGGAGTTATTATTATTATTCTTAAAATAAGACTAACAATAATAATATTAATTTTATAAATATGTTATGGTTTATTATATTATAACCACCCAAAGTTGCTGGGAGTCAGCCGGCATATACATATAAAAAATCTTTGTTACTATTATTAGTGGTAGTAGTATTTACATTTGTATATCACCCCGTTCCCAACAGCTTCATCTGAGTTTCAGATTCAAAGATACTTGTGACTCACAGCTGAAATAAAAAATCCATAATAGTAGTTTTTTTAACATGACTGTTACAGAAACGTGGCTTTTAAATTATGCATTTTACTAACCTTATTTATATTGATTTTTAAAGTTATATAAAAGATTATGTATACATCAAAAATATGAAAAATTTGCTGTAGATATTATTATACAAACATTAAAAACAGATAGAAGGAAGACAGCCAAAACTGTCACAATATACAAAGAAAACAGGTTAAGAAAGACATGAATTCTGCAAAATAGCCTGTATTTGGATGTGCATGTAATATTGAGAACATGTCACTGGAAGAAACTGTTACCCTATTGTTAGTGACAATCTGCTCCAAATCAGTCCTCTTTCACCTCAAACTGCTATTTGCAAAAGTTTTTCAAAAGCATAGAGGTAAGGAGATCCACAGAGGGAATCACCATCATGCAAATAATGGGCACAACCAGGCAATCAAAGCCCTGACCAGTTTTACATGCATGTGATCCATGCAATGCATGTTAAAAAGGAATAAGATTTCAATCATCTGGTCATGCCCACTGTTTTGCCCTCCTCCCCACTGACACCCCTACAAAGATATACATTCTGGTGTCTCTGATGCTACATCCAGTTTTGGCCCTTAACCCAACTAGAGTTCTTTAATTTATTATCTGTAAAGTTCAACATTTGTAACTTAAGATAGAACTAATAAGTTTTCAAAGTGGGAGGGTATTCCCAATATTTTTTAACATAAGAAACATACTGGTTTTTTTTTAAAGAAATGTATTGTAGGATAAAGAAAACTGAATTTATGAATATTCATGTAGTAATGGACATGGGTGAAACTACTGCCTTTCTGCTGCTGTTTTAAGGAACTTTATTTATGAAATATTCAATTTATTTTAATCCCATCAGAAGATCCAATTCAGTTTGGCATTTCATGTGTTATATTTACCTTTTCTGATTCATTTAGTTATTTATATACATTATTTTGGAAGAAATTGTTTTATTTATTTTTCATTGAGTTTCTGCCTTTCTTCTGGTAACTCAAGATAGTACACATAGGGGCAATTTTAAAGTTGTCATACAAAGAACATCAGAAACTGGTTTACATTGCTACATTTCTTCACGTGGTTTTGTATAACTGGATGAAGAAAGGTTACTAGGAATGAATTATACTTTTAGTTATTCAATAGACATACCTGAAATTGTGATTAGTTTTTTTACAGCAGCCATGATAATAAAAATTACTGTCAGTTTATCCATGTATAGTTCAGTTCACATTAATCTTTACTCACATGATTGTGTACCCTAATTAATATCATGATTGTGATATTAATTAGTGTAA